ACTGGTGATCAGGATCCTCACAGAACTCGTTGATTATAGTCACAAATTAGAGGAATATATGAAGGCTAAACTAAGCGAAATGAATGGAAATACACAGGAAACCAATAGTAATGGAAAGGAAACTGGGACTCAAATCAAAGGAGTGGACCAAAAGGAGAAAAAAAAGGACCAAACAGAAAAGGATGAAGAAACAAGAATTCAAAAAAAAAAGGAGAGGCTTAGGAACCTTCAGGACATCTTTAAACGTTCCAACATCCGAATTATAGGGGTACCAGAAGGGAAAGAGGAACAGCCACAAGTGGAAAACTCATTTGAACAAATAATAAAGGAGAACTTCCCCAACCTGGCAAGGGAAATAGACTTCCAGGAAATCCAGGAAGCTCAGAGAGTCCCAAAGAAGTTGGACCCAAGAAGGAACACACCAAGGCACATCATCATTACATTAGCCAAGATTAAAATGAAGGAGAGAATTCTAGAAGCAGCAAGAGATAAGGGGACAGTCACCTACAAAGGAGTTCCCATCAGACTGTCAGCAGATTTCTCAAAAGAGATCTTACAGGCGAGAAGGGGCTGGAAAGAAGTATTCCAAGTCATGAAATCTAAAGACCTACATCCAAGATTGCTCTATCCAGCAAAGCTTTCATTTAGAATGGAAGGGCAGATAAAGTGCTTCTCAGATAAGATCAAATTCAAGGAGTTCATCATCACCAAGCCCTTATTCTATGAAATGTTAAAGGGACTTATCTAAGAAAAAAGAAGATAAAAAAGATGAACAGTGAAAGGACAGCAAACTCAGTTATTAAGAACCAGACCTAAAACAAAAGCAAACTAAGAGGACAGCTAGATCAGGAGCAGAACCATAGAAATGAAGATCACGTGGAAGGTTAGCAACAGGGGAGTGGGAGGAGGAGAAGGGGGGAGAAGGTACAGAAAATAAGTAGCATAGATGGTAGGTAGAAAATAGATAGGGGGAGGGCAAGAATATATGGGAAATATAGAATCTAAAGAACTTGAGACACATGGTCATAAACTAAAGGGGGGGAATGGTAGGGGAGGGAGTGTGCAGGGTGGAGGGGAATGAAGGGGGGAAATAGAACAACTGTAATGGCATAATTAATAAAATATATTTAAAAAAACCCAGATTCGGCAGCCATTTGGGGGAGAGCCATGTGGTTTTGGCAGAGTGCAGACCCCTTCTTGCCCAGGTGAAAAAAGGGGAGCCGCACAGTTTCAGGAAAGTAAGGGTCCCCTCTTGGCCAGGTGAAGGGAGAGCCATGAGGTTTTGGGCAGAGTGAGGACCCCCTCTTGGTGAGCTGAAAGAGGGAGCCATGTGGTTTTGGCAGAGTGCAGACCCCCTCTTTCCCAGGTGAAAGGGAAAACCACGCAGCTTTGCCAGAATGGAGACCCCTGCAGCCAGGTGAAGAATAAAGCCACATGCTTTTGGTGAGAGTGCTGATCCCTGCAGCTTTGGTAAAAGAGGCTCACGCGGCTTTGGGGTGCCCCCTTTAGCTGTGTGGCCTGGAAAGCAGGACAGACTTTGACTGGAACTTGGTACAAAGAACTCTTGCCAGTGGACTGTAAGAGGGTACCACAGGACTTTGGATTAATTACAGATCCTGCCTGATGGTCAACACAGCTGACAATAACAGCGGCCTGAAAAAACGGATGTGTGCTCTTTTCCTGATTTATGGTACCCGGAGCTGGGACAGTGGGAGAAGGTAGCTCTGTGTGGGTGTAGGTGTATACCCTAAAGGCCTTACTTTGATATTTTAATGGAGGCATTAGGCCTGAATAGCATTAAATAAACATTTCATTTCCCTTTCACAAATATCTGGCATTAAGAGATGTCTTTCCAATTGGCGGTGGACAGAAGAGCCCAGTAGATATTAGTATTCCGTCCTTGGGAGGGACCCCTGTTCTGTAGCAGTCTTTGGCATCCCTAGGTGGGCCAAATATCGCCCCCCCCCCAGACCTCTGTTCAGTAACATTACGACGCCTGAAAGGCAGAAGACATTGTATTTTTAGAAAGTGGCATGCTTTTGTTCCTGAAAAAATGTGAATTCAGAAATTGAGAGCATTTTACAATTTATGATTATTTCCTTATATTCTGGCTCTGGTAACCAGGCAAACTCGATCCACCTTTGTCTGTCTTGATATCAGTAGACAAGTTTTTATGACCTGAGTATCACCATGCTACCTTGGATTATGCTCTTCCAATCCCATCTACATTTTCTCTATTTCCGATTCTGTATTGATATGTTTTTCTCTATTATTATAAAATATATACATTCTAGCTATTGCACCCAAACCATTGCAGAACATGTAAGGAATAGAAATGAATCAAACAAAGTTTCTGTGACCCTCTAGCTGGGACCCATAAGAAAACATCACCAAAGGAAGAGCCGCCTGTCCTCTGTGCCTGGCTCTTCCTTTCACCTGTGGAGACGCTGACTTAACAGGAATTCAATGAGCATTAGAGATGGAGAACTTGAACTACTTCAGATGCAGAGAATTTATCAATAAAGCCAGAACAACCAAGGAAGTTAATATTCTTCTGAAACCAAGTAACAGGCCATCTCTCTCTCTCTTTTCTTTTTTTTTTTTAATCCTCACCAGAGGATATTTTTTCATTGCTAGAGAGGGAGAGAGAGAGAGAGGGAGAAAGAGAGAATGAACTGTGTGAGAGAGAAACACTGATCAGTTGTCTCTCTTATGCGACCGAACCAGAAATCAAATGCACCATCTGAGCATGTGCCCTGGCCAGAGGTTGAACCCATGACCTTCCAGCACAGGATGAAGCTCCAACCAGCTAAGCCGCACTGGCCAAGGCCAGTCCAGCCCTTGATATCTCCCTGCAATCCTAACCTGCTCTGCTCCTTCCCCCAACTCAGCTCCGACTCAGTTGCTTTCTTGTCAGAATATCAGTGAGGGAATCACTGTCCCTACCCCCACTGCTAACTTACAGATTTGACCCTTGGGATCCTCACCTCAGAACATCTGGTTGGCAAAGCAAAACCCAAGTGATCTGTGGCAATACTGTGCGCTGTTGTCCAGATCAGACGGGTTAGGGAGCCTGCTTTTGTCTCAGGTGCAGGACAGAAAAGTAAGGTGCGCTATCCAAATATTTTCCACTGAAGTGGCAGGAGATCACACACATGGCATGAGCACCCATGCCACCTGAAGCCACATAGCTCCTCAGTGTACACAGTGGGCAGCTGAGGTCCGGAAGTCAGCATCGAGCTCCTCGCTAGCATGATGAGCAATGGCCATCTGTCCCCTCAAAGCCAGGCGGCGTGACCTTCAGTTCCAGGCATTGCTAGCATCACAGCTTCCCCAGATAAAGGCTGAGAGAGCTGCCCTAAAATCTCCTGTTATCAGCAACAGCGAAACCGAAGTGCCCGTCCTTACTTTTATTACGTATTTTCTTCCAAAAAAAATAGATGGAGAATCAGTGGAAACCTGGACAGCAAGTTAAAGCTCAGCCATGTATAATTTTTACTTTCTTAGAAAGAAGACCCATGCATAGAATTACTAGGCAATGAAACAGAGTATATGTGTTGCACCAGAAAATTCCTTCATGTTTTATGAAGTGAAACTACATGAAAATATGTAGCTGGAACAAAAGCCACACATCAAAACCTCAGGCCACTAAATCTGTTATTGACAAACAGCAAGTCACTCTCAACTCGGTGGCTGCTGCTGTTGGCATGGAGACCGTAAACAATAACAGAGATAGGTGAGAACAAATCGCTACAAAGATATAACCTTGCCAGTGAGGGGTTTGTCATCTAGATTGACTCGTTAAACCCTCATGTGAATCAAGTGCATTCCCCATTTATCTCCTGCATTCTTTTCTGTATCCGTCATACTGGGCATCGTTAGCATCATCGGAACAAAAAGGGGGGAATAAAAGCAGGCGGCTGCTTCTCAGTGGGATCCCATCATGTGAAAGAGAGTAACAACTGTGTCCAAGATCAACAGAACTGGAGGTTATGAAATGTTTCTGTAAGTCCCAGTGGTTCCCACAATATCAAGCAAATATGTATGCTGCATGTTATTTTTGTAAAGAATTGCATTTTTCCATAACCCTTTACTTAACTCTGATTTTTTTTTAAAAAGTTGTTTTTTTAAAAATGTAAGTCATTTCCTAAGAATGTGGTGTCATAGATCACTTAAGGAAAGTAAACGCGCAACAGTTGTTGGTGTGCATCCCTTAGCAAGAGTTCCAGCTTGCAGAAAACACTGACGGACCGTGGCTTAAGCTGTAAGGATGGGTCATTGTTGGCCTCACAAGAGTCTGGAGGGATGGGTGACTTCAGGGTACTGCTGTAGCAAAAAGTGGACCCTCAGAAGCCCAGACTCTTTCTCCTCTTCTGTTCCATCATCCCCTGTGTGTTGGCTTTTCATCCTCGTACTTGTCTGCAGAGTGCAAAGTGGGCTAGCAAAGCTGGGGAAGGGTATTCTCACTGTCATCCAAAGCCAGGAAGAAAGGGGAGGAACACCTATTGGTCCTTGCTAGGGGCCCTCTTTTTTCTGGAAGGGACACCCTCTGCAGATTTCCCCCTGGATCTCGTGGGCAGAGCAGCTCTCTTGTCTCTCCGTAGACCAATCACTGGTGGAAATGGAAAGAGGTTTAGACCAATCATGATTCCCTTTCTGGATGAAATCTTTGCCTGATACCTGCTAGCGGGGATGACACGGGCAAATGGCAATTGGAAGGCAAGGAACAGAAGCCATCCCAAAGGGCCAGGTCGCAGACTCCTCCCCATTCCCCCGAATCCCACGCCACACGGACCTTCCTCGGACAAGCATAGCTCGTGTAAAATGCCTGCACAGCAGGTGGGATATTATACTCAAACTCTGCTTCCTTTCTGTCTCTCCAGACATTTTCTTACCATTTTTCGTTTTTCTATTGGTCTTGCTAGATCAGTTGTCTTCTGGAAGCATCCGTCTGTTACTCCTGGGTTTGTCTCTCAGCCTCGTCTCCTGCTGCCTCCCATGTTTGAAGAACCCTGTCCTTGTGCACTACAGGGCCACTTCTCCCCTAAAATAAGACACTCAGGTGAGTCTCCTTCTAGTCCTACACTCAGACTTACGCTGTGGAAGCTGTGACATCGGTCTGTGGGATCAGAGCTGAAAACAACCAGACCAATGCCCTCAACGGGAGTCGGGAAGGCAGGGGGCGGAGACAGGAACTCAGGGGACACGGTGCTCTCTCTGGGTCCTGGGAGAGGGAGGGTCCCCTTCCGTCTCACTTGAAGCCCAAGAGGGGACTTCCAGAAACACATCCCTCCAGCCTCGTCGCTGGACTGGACCCTATAACCCACTCCGCCACCAGTGTTCCTTCCTCATTTATCTCCCGTGAGCATCTATTAGATGCATTTCCTTGGGGGGCAGGCTCAGGAAACACCTTATTTGAAAGAAGGGTTCCTGTCACTGTCCTATCACCAAAGCTGCTTTCTGCCCCTCCCCCACAGCAGGCCACACCTCCACACCAGGTCGCCAGGACCTGGGGCAAGCCTGACCTGAGGCAGGACTGCTCCACTCCCATACTCTGTGGCTCTTGTTGCTCCTCCAATCCTAGTAGAACATTATCAGAAAACTATTGGCTTCCTTAAAGAAAGAAAGAAAGAAACATAGAAACCCAGATGGGTCGGGGTGGGTCCACAGGGAAGAGAGACTCTCCCTGCAGGAACAGCAGCCGGGCCCAGAAGTCCAGAGCGTCACTCTCCGTGAATCCTCCGCACTGTCCGCCTCCCCATAAGCCAGGCTGGCCTCGCTGGGGCCGTGGCAGCAGGTGGCCCGAGTGTCCCCACCTCCAATCATTTCCTCTTGGTGTCCTGTGCTACAGCGGAGGCCAGGGTGCAACACGCAAACAAAACTTTTCTAAAGAGGCAAGAAAAAGGAAATACACAGAAACGATAGCCGATGATTTAGCTTACTGCAGATGTGCCCTGCACTCACCTTCCTGTACCAGAAGCCACCTGCAACAGAACGCTAACCCCGGGCCCTGGGCGGGCAGAGGGGGGTCCAAATGCTGATGCTTCTCCACTCAAGTGGATCTTGCCCCTCTCCTCCCCTGGGGACACTTGGCAATTTCTGCAGACATTTCTTGGTTGTCATTGTTGTAGACGATCAGCGGGTAAATACACACTCTCGGAGTCCGGAACCGAATTGATAAAAATTTTAATGGCCAAAGATTTTCCTGCGCAGGGGCGAACTTCCCCAACTGTGACCAGAGTCACGTAGCTACTCAGAGCTACAAAATGGAAGTCGCGCCTGGCTTACAGACTACTGGGTATTTATATTTTCTAGCAAGCAAGCAAAGGCGTACAGAAGCAGAGGTGGCAGTTAGCTATTTGCTTATTTAAAAACGGCGAGGGTCCCTGATTGGTGGGTGCTGCTGCTGGCGGGCACTTTCTGGCAGCCCGGGTTAGTTACCTTATTTGGCTAGAATTTTAAACCCAATTGTTCCCGGATGTTTGTTCATTACCCTGTTCCAGGAACTGCAGATTTAGGGTTGGGTAATGCCCTAGCTGTAATTTTCCTAGCTGGGTATAACACAATAACTGGGATGATACTACTGATACTGATCTAATGAACAGAGGCCAGGGCGCTGCTCAAGGTTCTCCAATGCGTGGTGTCGACGTAAGGAACGTGCAGACCTGCAGAGAACTTTTATACTCGAGTTTATCTGAGCCACACTGACAACACAGGCCTGGGGCCCAGGTCACAACTGCTCTGGAGAATGAACAGTTTTGCAGTTTCTCTAGTGCATTTGAAATTGAGGAGGGACATTACAGGGAGACTGGAGAAGGGGAGTTAGGGCCAGATTACAAGATGGTCGGCAACATTATGTGCTCTCCAGAGGGTCAGTCCTTCTTTGAGGGTCATTTCTTCTCCTACTTGGGTGGCGTGTTAACCTAGATTCCAAAGAACCACTGACAGAACCGGCTTAAAGCCTTTCACTGAAGAAGTCACAGGCCTAGGGCATGATGACTCACCGAGACCTGAGCAGTTAGGAATTTAGGATCAGATTGCCACGAGGGGTTCCTTTCCATAGAAACGCCCTTACTTCCTTCCATCCAGAGCAGGACAGGCCTCACAGCAAACAATTATCTGGCGCCAAATGTCCTAGTGCTGTGGTCGAGGGAACCTGCCCTACAGACACCAGCTCACCTTTGCAGGACCAGGGGAGGCTCTGGTTCCATCAGCCCGCCCCCTACCTGGAGGCTTATAAAGGCAGTGAAGGGGGCACCAAAAGGGCGGTGTCTGAGGAAGTCATCGGTGCTCTCTCTGGGTCCTGGGAGAGGGACGGTCCCCTTCCCTCTCACTTGAAGCCCAAGAGGGGACTTCAAGAAACACATTCCACCAGCTTGATATGGGTCCTTGGGAATTTAGGGGCGGGTGGGGTGGGGTGGGGAAGACCTGCCATTTGGCTTTCCTGGGGTAAAATAACAAATACAGTTGGCTGACTAGAGCTGATACAACAGAGAGAGGAAGAGTTGTACTGAGAGCAAGCTACCCTGCTACCTGCAGCAGAAGGGACCTGGCCTGGCTGTCTTCAAACAAAAACGAAATAAAACCCTACCTGCAGGGAACCTTTGGAGGAACAGACCTCCCCAGCTCAGGGAGGCCAGGGAGGTCTGTTGGATGGGCCCCATTCCCTGGGGGGGCGGGGGGCAGGGAGATTCCCACCGTGTTCTCTCCCACCACTGCAAGCTGAATCCCTGGGACGCAGCCTCATGAGAGTGCTCTACGGAGGGCGAGTTGTGAATCTGCCCTCCTGCTTTCCTTTTTCATTTAAGTGCTTGGTTGCGTCATAAATGACTTATGAATACACCTCGCAGCAAGTATTCACAATCTGGTGACTGAGAACTAGAGCCAGCTGTTGAAAAGGAGTTCTGACCCGGGTTCCAATCCCGGGTTGGCTGCTGGAGCTCTGTGCATCGGATATCTGTCTAGTAGGTCTGCAGGTGCTGTGCGCGACAATGAGATAAAGCACTGAGCACAGAGCAGGTGTTCAATCAATTGTAGCCTTCTGTGCATGTGGGTACGGCCTAACATGGCACCCATGGCAATGGAGCACATGGACTCTTCCTTTCATTCTGTCTGGGCTCTTATCATAGGACAAAGAAATAAAATGAGGAGGCTCTTCCTGCTCCTAACCAATGTACACGTCACAGCGCTTCCCTGGCCTACATGTGTCGGATAGGGTGCCTTCAGTCACAAGAACAGGAAAGCAAACCGAACGCATCTTAAAGCGTAGAACACTTACTAGCTCACGTAACAAGACCACGGGTGGGAAAGTTCTAGGGGTAATGGGCCCAGCTCTTTGTGAGCAGGAAGCTTTCCACTCTCCCATTCCCAGTGTTGTGCCTTTTGGCCTTAATGCCTCGGGATCTCAAGATAGCTGCAGTAGCTCCGAGCATTTCATCCTTGCACAATGCCCTAGGGAGGTAGGAAAAAGAGGACTTTCTCTAATGTTTTCTTTCAGAAAAACAAAAACACCTTTTCACAGATCATTACTCAGCAATCTTCCTTTCCAGTGTAATGGGAATGGGCCAGAATTTTATCACAGGCTCCTACTTAATCAGTCCCTGGCCGTGGGAAATGAGACCTCCAGAAAAGGCTTGGGCCAGTCAAGATTCAGTGCCCTTCTTCCCTGAGTATAAGGACAATGGGAGATAAGTAGACACATAATCATGGTTGCTACGCAGCTCAATATATCTCCAGGCCAAGATATTGTGAAATCACCAGGAATTTTATCCCCAATGCTGGGGATAAAATAAAAATCTTGAGGAAGGGCTATGTACCCTAAGAATGGAAGAGAGTGTACAAATCCCCTTAATTTAATTTTTAAAAGTTCCACTGTAAGGTGAGATTTAAGGAAATCTTTGCCTGGAGGTGTGGCATTAAATGTTAATGTGGACAGAAGGAATGACTCCTTTCAAACCTTCAGCAATGAATTAAGGATTTGGAAGAGAAAATGACTAGAGGCAACATGGGCTGGGGTGGTATTTGTCAGAAAGCTTAATTCTGAAACAGAAAAAGCGGAATATCTTCTCAGTTGAGAAATGAATAAATCTTTCCATTCTTGTCTTTTGGCACCCAGTATCCGTGGCTAGTTACAAGGCTTAAAATAGAAAGGGTCAGTTGCTTACAATTCTGTTCTGTACGATAACTTTCTCCTCACAAAACATCCCCAAGGCTTTCTCTGCTGATCATAGGACAAGCCTCCATGGCTACGTATTTGTGTAATGTATCTGCAAAATAATGATGTGTACTTATAAAAGAAATATTCACATGCCTGTCCAGAGTTTACAAATGATAGGTCACATTTCATCTTAATGCTTTGCATCAGACATTCCACAATCCCTAGAAAAATATTTGACTAGCTGCATGCTATTGACTAGATACAGTCAAGCAGTGTGTGTGTGTGTGTGTGTGTGTGTGTGTTGTTCTTGGAAGGGGCTCTAAATCAAACACTGTAATGTGTTTTTCCCTCCACTGATTTCTACTAGAGTAATAAAAATGTCAAACTAAAGGAACGAACAAATTCTAGACCTAAAGGCTTTCTACATAGCTGTTGCAGAAATACCCACTACATACTCTTGGAGCAAATGGTTTAGCCACTCACCATTGACCAAACTGGGTCTTTCTCACCTCCGATCCACTTGCCCAAGCTGCTCCCTTAGCTCCAGCCACCTCCCTCCCAGCACTTGCTGCCCCTTTGCTCTAAATGGGACCAAGTGTCAGCTGACTCCATAAGACCAGCTCACCCATCACCCTTTTCCATACGGGTTCCCTGCCCACCCTCAGAAGGTCTAACTCAGTAGGTGGGGGATAAAACCAGGGAACATGAAGTTTTACCAGCTCCCTAAGACTTTTCAAAATGTGGGAAAACGGGTGAGACCATTGCTATCACCCTCCTCCAATGCCACTTTCTCTTGGAAGCTTTGCCTAATCTCAGCTCCTTCCACCTTCTCCCAAGTATCCCATATACATCTTCTTGAACCTGTACCTTGGCACCTGCTTCTCCCCCTCTGGTCCCCTTACAGAGAACTCTTAAAGTGGGGTCTCCATCTAGTGAGTCTTTCTGTCCCTAGCACAAGGTTCAGAACATTGAAGCCCCTTGTACTTGTTTGTGGAATGAATTAATAAGTAAACAAATCAGGGAAAACGGTCCACTGTTTCTGAAGATGAAAGATTACGATGCTGTCTGGTCCTTGGTGCTCAGGTGCGTCTGCTGAGACCCTTTGAGTTTCTCCTCCCGGGTGATCTCGAATCTTCAGCCGCAGGTCCCTTCCCACAGCACCTCTCCACCCCTAATTTACCCACCCACACTTCCCCTGCCAGCGGGAGGTGGCCCTTCTTCAAAAAGCCCTGACTTTCAGGGTCAGCTCCCAAGATGGGTTTTCTTTCCTTTTGACCAGAAGTGCAGTTGCAAGTATTAAACTTCAGTGACGAATGCCTAATTGTGCAAAAACTGCTGTCTTGAGATTTCAGGCACTGGACTGTATCAAACTTTAATGAAAGAGAAATACATGTAACTTGGGGGAGCATTCTAAGTACATTTTGAGAGGGTTCTCACTTTCTTTATCTTCTGGGTTCCACAAACACCATAATACAGTTGACCTGTCCTGAGAGCAAACTGTTAAGTTAGACGTGTGTGGGCAATTACCTACAAACAATCTTCTGAAATCCTCCCAGTGATGGACGGCAGAGCGGTTTGCAGGAAGAGAGAAGAAACAAAACAGAGGAAGAAATGTGCAAACAAGGGTATTATGCTCTCCAAACGCCCAGACTCGCTTTCGTGGCCAGAAAGGCCGCCTTCAGCGGCGTGGCTGCCTGTGACAGGACTGAATAAATGGGACGGAACAGTGCCCCTTCCAGAAAAAAAGAAAAAAAGCAGAAAGCAGCCAGAGGACGACGTAGCTGTTTAGGATGCCTGCACGCAGGTTTCCATTTACCACGGCGGAGTCTTCAGCCTCACTGCCTACGCGGTCACAATATAAACAGGAAGGATTAGAGTGACCCACGTCCCCAAAGACCGAGGCCGTCCGGGAACAGCTCCGGTTACCTCGCATCCTCAGCAGCCTGCCCCTTGATGACAAATGTCCCAGATTCGGGCGTTCTTTTGTAGTCCATGGGAAAGCCAGACTAATCCGTGCAACCCCGCGCGCACACATCGGCTCCATTCAGCTCGGGCGCACAAAGCGCTGGCTGCGCTCCAGGGACGCGGGGCCCCGACGACGGCGACGACAGCGGCTCCTGGCTCCGGGCCGGACCTGCCCGCGGCCCCCTGGCCCGCGCTCCCCGCTTCACCTTCAGTGGGCGGGCCACAGACACCCCCCGCCCCCTAGTCCTGCGTGCAGAAGGGGACAGGGGCCGGGAGAGTCAAGAAAAAAACAACACAAAAAACCCCAAAAACATTTCCACCCCTTCAGGGGTGAGCGAGCTTTTTGAGCAAATAGAAGCATAGAACTGATCAGGGGGGTCTTCTGCCTCCAGCCCTCCTTGTTCTGTTCTACCGGGATTCACCCCACTTTTAAACCCTCCACCCCCTGCTCCCCAATCCTTTTCCTTTCTCTTGGTTCATTTAGATTTTTTTTTTAATTATTGACTTTAAGAGAGAGAATCATCGATTTGTTTTCCACTTATTTAGGCACTCCTAGGCTGTTTCTTGTATGTGCTCCCACCAGGGATGGAACCACGCCACCTTGAGTTTCCACCGCCAGCTCCAGCCAGCCGAGCCGCGCAGGCCCCGGGCTCATTAGCACTTTTAATGTCAGGCTCTGTTCTAAGGGCTTTCCGGGGGCTGCCTGACTTAATGGTCAGAGCAACCCTGTGACGTGGGTACATTTTACAAGTGAGGAAACTGAGGCACAGCCATCCCTGCGGCACTGGACATGGAACCAGGCCTCCAGAACTCGGAGCCTTCGCCACTGAGCTCCCCGCTGCGGGGTGGGGGTGGGGAGGGCTGCCCCTCGCATTAGAGATTTCCTGTAACCTGCCCCGAACTCTCCCTGCTGTAGATACGTCTGTGATCCGTGTTTCCATCTCAACCGTCTCATTTGGAGAGCGCCAGGCGTTCACTCGCCAGTCCAATACACCAGCCGGGGCAGAAGAGGCAGGAGAGACGGTTCACAATTCATCCAGGCATCTTCACCAGGTGAAGGCAGGCGGGGAGGGACGGTCCCTTGATGATGTAAGAGCTGGTTCCAAGAAAGCCCTCGTTCCCAGCTCTAGCCCCCCCCCCCATGAAAGGGCTCGAGCAGACGTCTCTACCTCTGAGTAGAGGGGTTAAAAGCCAAGCTGTGAAAACGTGAACCCTGTCCGGGCCACTCTCAGTTGGATGGGTGAAAACAGACAGGGTGGCCCACAGGGGGCTTCCGAATTGGTGACAAGTGATCTCCGTGATATCCTGGGAAAATGCCCGAAATAGTATGCTAGGCACTCAGGAATAGCTGGAGCATTCAGAAAACAACAAGGCAGTGAACAAAATCCAGCAAGTGCAGGCAGATTTTTTAAGGTTTGGGGACATATCAGAAAACTGTATTGAATATGAGCGTTTGGGGTCATCTTTTTAGTGACTAAAGAAATAAAATTAAACAAAGAGGTACTGAATTTTGACCTGGCCAATATAATAATGATAACAACAACCATGATAATAATAGTTAATGAAGCAGAGTGTTCCAAGTCACACATTGCTGGTGAGTGTGCAAACTGGAGTGGACTTGGAAGAGGTGACTTGGAAATACTTAATGGAAAACCCTGAAATGTGTATGTTTTTGACCCATCAGTTCTGCTTGTGGAGTTTTATCGTAAGGTGTTCATTTAAAGTACGTCAAATAATTTGGATGGGATTTGGGGGCAGTTCATAGTATGGGAAGCATAGAAACAGATCCAGATGTCCATCGATAAAAGACTACTTTATTTATTTTTTTAAATTAAAAAAAATTATCTTTAGAAGGGAAGGGAAGGAGAGAAATATCAATGTGTGGTTGCTTCTGGTGCATCCCCTGCTGGGAACTGGCCCCTGCTGGGAACTGGCCTGCAACCCAGGCATGTGCCCTGATGGGGAATCGAACCACGATCTTTTGGTTCGCAGGCCCGTGCTCAATCCACTGAACTACACCAGCCAGGGCTGATGAAGCACTACTTTGAAAAATCATAGTAATCTATACAAAGGAAAACTGCTTACAATATACTGGTAATAGCAAAAAAGCAGGTTTTATTTTTTTAAGTATTTTATTTACTTATTTTTAGAAAGGGGAAGAGAGGAGAAAGAGAGGAAGAGAAACATCAATGTGTGGTTGCCTCTCTCACGTCCCCCACTGGGGACCTGGCCTGCAACCCAGGCATGTGCCCTGACTGGGAATTGAACCAGCGACCCTTTGCTTCACAGACCCATGCTCAATCCACTGAGCTACAGCAGCCAGGGCAGAAAAAGCAGATTTTAAAAGAGTATGTTTTCTTTGAAAAAATGTCTTGAACAGCATATAAAATGTTAATGCTCAATGATGTGAGTTTTAACTTCTTTCTGTTTTTCTGTGTTTTTATTTATTTTCCACTAGTACGACAAGGAATAAAGAAAAGCAGAACATTTATTTGTAAGGGAAAAGCAAGTCTCTCTGTCTCCCCTACAGTGGTAAAAGCAGCAGCCCCTGAGTCCCCAGTGGGAATGTGGGCGACCACGGTCTTCAGGCTGTAGAACCTTTTGTGATGGAATGTGAACCCTGCCACCTGGGTTTCCGGGGCCCAAGCACAAGAACTTCACTCAGTCAACAGCACAGTGAGTACAGGGGACTCGGGCTCTTCCCAGGCAATTTAGCTGTGGAGTGTAGTCATCCAACTCGGCGAATGCCCATCCAAGAGACGTGCGATTTCGGAGAAGTCTAAGCACAGGGCGTACGGGCCACTGCTCCTGTAACTCAGCCCTGCGCCCCGCACCAGTCAGATCCTTAGCTCTGCGCGCCCACCGCATCAAATTAGTATTCCACAGCGGTCCTCTGCCGGTTACACTTTCATGCTCTCCCCTTTGCCTTATAAAATGAAATAGTCATTTGAGGATTCCCTCCTCTAGAAATCCTTTGCCACAGGCTGTTTTTTATGTCAAGGGATTGATTGCTCTGTGTGTGTGTGGACTCTCCTGATAAAGCCCCCTTCAGGGCGGTGGTGTTTAACCTGGGCTCCTGGCGGGCTGCCTGGGGCCAGGGACCCAACCCCTCTGCCACCAGAGGACTCTCCTTCGACTGGTGCTGCCACAGATGCCAACGGTAGGCAGTGTCACCCCCTCCAAAATTAACCCTCAAAAAGAGGAATTCATCTAACATCTCTTGTATTTATTTTTTAGCACAAAATATGACTTTGGAATGACATAGCCTAATACCATCTCAGTCAAAGCTAGTCTTTCAGAAAAAATTTTAATTTAATTTATTTTTAGAGAAAGGGGAAGGGAGGGAGATAAGCATGGATGTGAAAGAGAGACGTTGATCGGTTGCCTCTCACATGCCCCCAACTGGGGACTGAACCTATGACCCAGGCCTGTGCTGACTGGGAATCGAACTGGCAATTTTTGACTTTGGTGGGTGAGACACACTGGTCAGGGGCAAAGCTAGTCTTGAATGCTTTTAAATAAGGCAAAGAATCTTCCCAAGCTTGACAAGTTTTAGAGGATCATACTGGGAAAGTGGAGTGTTTATTATTCCCCATTTAGAGGAAATCTTGAGTCTATATATTCTATGCCAATTGCGTGGTTCTTTTAAATCTGTAATTTCCTAAAACTAATTAGAATTAGACTTTACTTAGTTAGCTTTTGCCTACAGTTTTAAAAACTAAAGTAGGGGAAATTGTAGAATAAGTGGATTGTCACTGCTAAAAAATTAATGGGGAAAAATTTCCAAAAGTATTGCTTCCTTCCCTAGATATCGATTAAGACATTAAAGTTATTTCTGTGTGTTAAAAACATAAAATGAGATAAGATAAAGAAATTTCACACAGATTTAGGGAGCTATTTCTGGAGATATGACCTAACAATCGGAAGTTTCTGGATGCCTTTTAAAGCTCATTTGTTAAAAAGCAATAAAATAAATGATTATGTTCTAAAGAACTCTAATATGTACTGTATTTTTTCCCTAGGACTGTCGTAACAGAGTCTCACAACCTGGGTGGCTTAAAACCACAGGAATTAAACGCCTCCATGATTCCGGAGGCTAGAACTCTGAGACCGAGGGGTTGTCAGGACCACGCTCCCCCTGAAACCTGTAGGGAGAACCCTCCTTGCCTCGTCTAGCTTCTGCTGTTCTTGGCTGGTTCCTGCACTGTCCCTCTCTGCCCCAACCACCCCGTGGCTGTCTTTTCCCTGGGTGTCTCTTGGCTCTTCTTGTTGATTGTTGGCTCAAGGGCCCACTCGTTTCCAGTATGACCTCATCTTGACTATATCTACAAGGACACTATTTCCAAATAAGGTCACATTCTGAGGCACAGGGGGTTAGGACTTGAATATATCTTTTCCGAGGACACAAGGCAACTCATAACATATCTCTACAGAAAGCATTCAAAAAAAAAAAAAAAGAAAAAAAGAAACAACCGTCTGATCTTGCGTAAATCATATTTGTGTCTTGAGATAAAATTCCAATGCTTTTATCCTACGAAGGTTAAAATATTGCTGGATCCCAAATAAATGAGATGAATAGATAATATTCTTGAAATAAATGCTGCGGATGATGCAAAAAGCAGTACTGATGGGTGATGACGCTGTGGGATGGTTCATTTTGGGTGTTAACATGACTGGGGTGCCCAGCTTAGATATTATTTCTGGGTGTGTGTTTGAGGTGTTTCTGGGTGAGGTTAGCGTCTGATGCAGGCTGCCCCCCCCCCCATGGGGGTGGTCATCATCCAATCCACCGAGGGCCAAAATAGAACGCGATCGGAGGGAAATTCAGCCCTTGTCTGTGCCTCCTTGCTGGGCTGGAGCATGTATTTTCTCCAGGGCTCACACTGGAATTTCCACCACTGGGTCCCCTGGTTTCCAGGCCTCCACACTCGGGCTGAATTATACCATCGGTGTCATTTACATTGTACCAAGGTAATTTTTATCTGTATAATCACATCAGAGAGTTTAATTTTACACCAGTGAAGTTTATGCCTGTAAATCTACACCAATGAAATGAATGGCTTTTCTGAGTCTCTGCCTTGCAGACTGCGGACTGAGGGGCTACTCAGCCCCCATAATCACAAGCCAAGCCCTCATCATAGATTTCCTCTTGTATAAATGTAGGAAAGTTAAATATGCAAATATGTCCAACGATCCTGTTGGTTCCATTTTCTGGAGGATTCTGCCTCATATTAATAATTCATTTAAAGAGTTTAAATAGACTTATCTCTTAATATTTGAAAATGAAAAAGCACGTGTTTGGAATTAATATTCTATTTTACATACTCAGGACCCCTTAATATATACATTGAATTTCCAGGCAACATTTCACTTGAAAAGGATCCTATGTTTTTTGGGTTTTTTTACATTTTTTTTATTGATTATGCTGTTACAGTTGTTCTATTCCCCCCTTCATTCCCCTCCACCCTACCCCCCCGTCCCCACCATTACCCCCCCTTTAGTTTATGACCATGTGTCTCAATTCCTTTAGATTCTATATTTCCCATGCTATTCTTGCCCCCCCATCTATTTTCTATCTACTATCTATGCTACTTATTTTCTGTACCTTCTCCCCCCTTCTCCTCCTCCTACTCCCCTGTTGCTAACCCTCCTTGAGATCTTCATTTCTATGTTTCCACTCCTGAGATAGCTGTCCTTTTAGTTTGCTTTTGTTTTAGGTGTGGTTGTTAATAACTGTGAGTTTGTTGTCCTTTCACTGTTCATGTTTCTTTAACTTCTTTTTCTTAGATAAGTCCCTTTAACATTTCATAGAATAAGGGCTTGGTGATGATGAACTCCTTGAATTTGATCTTATCTGAGAAGCACCTTATCTGTCCTTCCATTCTAAATGAAAACTTTGCTGGATAGAGCAATCTTGGTTGTAGGTCTTTGGATTTCATGACTTGGAATACCTCTTTCCAGCCCCTTCTTGCCTGTAAGGTCTCTTTTGAGAAATCCGCTGACAGTCTGATGGGGACTCCTTTGTAGGTGACTGTCCCCTTAGCTCTTGCTGCTTCTAGGATTCTCTCCTTCATTTTAATTTTGGCTAATGTAATGATGATGTGCCTTGGTGTGTTCCTTCTTGGGTCCAACTTCTTTGGGACTCTCTGAGCTTCCTGGATTTCTTGGAAGTCTATTTCCTTTGCCAGATTGGGGAAATTCTCCTTTATTATTTGTTCAAATAAGTTTTCCTCTGGTGGCTGTGCCTTTCCCCCTTCTGGTACCCCTATAATTCGGATGTTGGAGCGTTTAAAGATGTCCTGGAGGTTCCTAAGACTATCCTCATTTCCTTGAATTCTTGCTTCTTGACTCTTTTCTGTTTGGCCATTATTTGCTTTCTTCTGGTCCACTCCATTGATTTGAGTCCCAGTTTCCTTTTCATTGCTATTGGTGTCCTGTGCAATTCCATTCATTTCAATTAGTTTCGCCTTCATATATTTGTCTAATTTGTTGGTATAATCAACCAGTTCTGTGAGGATCCTGATGACCAGTGTTTTAAACTGTGCGTCTGAGAGTTTTGCTATTTCTTCATCGCTTAGATCTATGGGCTCTGGGGCTTTGAGATCTTCTTGCGACATTTTTGGTCTGTTCTGGCCCTTTAAGTGTGAGAAGCGGGCCCTTTAAGTGTGAGAAGCGGTGCCTTGGACTCCCAGGTCGCTGGGTTGTGACGCTGTATGTGGGGGCGTGGTCAGAGCGGGGAAATGGCGACCCCCTCTGCTGTTTCTCACAGCTGGGTGAGGATTAGCGTCTTAGGTGGTTCACCTGGGCTGGGCCACTCAGAGTCGCTGGGTTATGACGCTGTATGTGGAGGTGGGGTCAGAGCAGGGAAATGGCGGCGCCCTCCACTGCCGCTTGCCGCGGGGGCCCGCCGGGCCCGGTCCAACCGCCCACTCCCTCGCCTGTCCGCCCGCGCACAAATGCGCGACCACAGTCAACACGCAGCACCGCTCCCCCGCTATCTCCCTTGTGGTCGCTCGCCTGGTGGCTCGCTCGGTCGCTCACTAGGTCCAACCCTGCGCCTGGATTCCGTACGTCTGGATTCCGCGCCTGAGTCCGGCTGACTGAGTTTTCCTGTGCAATCCCGCTTCACCAGTCACTGGTTTCGCCCCTTACCGGTGAGGCTGAAGAATTTGTTGTTAACGGACTTCCGAAAAGTTCAATTTTCCGTGTTCTGGCTGTGTTTTCTGTTGCTAATATTTAGTTGTCTCTAAACTTGGTTGTGCGAGAAGGCACGGCACATCCACCTATGCCTCCATCTTGGCGGAAGTCCGGATCCTATGTTTTTAAAACATAAAACAGAATTCTGGACTCTTGGCTTAGTATCTTAGTATATAGTATCTTCCAATTCTACTTTTTAATCTGTTGCTTAAGGAACTCTATTGATGGGTGCCTAATATATTTATATATATGAAAATACTTGCTAGACACAGGGGAAATACTAGTGAACAAAACAGACATGCTTGTTTCTTCTAAGGAGTTCCCATTATTTATACTGAAAATTGC